CAAATAGTGTATAACACCGTAATTATTAATGTTTCAATTTTTGAACTAAATTGAGAACCAGTTGAGGAGTGATTTCAATTGGAATATTTGGTGGTAATAATATTGAAAACAAGCAAAATTATAATTGATAAATTATCTGGATAAATCTAATTATCTAATTACAAAGAACAAGCATTCACCATTCTCGAAGTCTACGATAAATCAAGTTTTTCAACAAATAAACCCTAGTTCTATCATAAATAAAAAATCAATTTTTTTATGAAAATCCTAATTAATTAATCCAAGCATGCAAATCTAGTTATTTGACTCATAGGAAATCTCAATTAGTCGATGTACGTAGTACACCGAATGAAAAATTATACAGAGCAAAATATTTACTATAAGACATTAATTAAATTGAAAAAAAAAGCATACATTGAAAAACATCGGATTAAAAATAATACTATACTTTACTAAAAGTATCTCCCCTAACTTTAATTGAGGATTTAGTAATTCATACGATAAATATTCAAAAACTACAGAAGAGGGGTTAAGAGTAGAATACCTCAAATCAAGACTTACAAGAGTTTGTATATGCATTAGGAACCAAGAATCTAATTAAGCTCAAAGTCTATATTTACTGGGCAACTGTCGTCATCGCATCCGAACCCATGTTTCTAGCCGTCCAGATGCACCTTATTTCCTTTGCCTCTCTATCGATCACATCCAGATGTGTGTTTTGGACCATCCAGATGCACTTGACATCGACTTTCTTCAATTTGCCTTGGTAACTACTGGATGTTGCGTCTTGACACACATGATTCTCTATCCGGACGTGTGTCTTCAACTTCTTTTTGAGCAACTATTGTAAGTCCTATCTAGACATGCTTGATCCATCGTCTGGATGCATAAGACAGTGACTCTTTTTTAGCTCCTTAATGCTTGAGATTTTCATCTCTTCTTGTTTTTATCTTTCAAATCTTTAACCAAACCAATTTACCTGTAAAAATAGACAAACACTACAAAGTAAAATAAAATTCATAACTCAATCAATTTAATGCTATTAGCTCTTCACTTAATGTAATTAGTCAATTATTAATTTAATAATCATGCAATATTCATGGCTAATCAATATTCATGTTGTATTAGAAGGAGACAGCTACAAGGAATGATTGCCATAAATGTCAAAAATCTAGATATAAAAAATTTGATTGTCAAGGAGATGATGCAAATATTGGAGGGAAAATTCCATAAATAAGTTGTGAGGTACTTCCCTTTAAAACTGAGGTTTCAGAGATTGTTCATTTAATCAAAATTAGCAACATTAATGAAATGACATGCAACAGACCAAACCAATGATTTTGCTATTGATTCACGTAATGTTAGACTTGGATTAGCATCTAATGGGTTCAATGCATATAGTACAATGAGTATTTCTCATAGCACATGGCCTGTTATTTTAATGTCATACAACTTGCTGCCATGGATGTGCATGAAACAACCTTATATGATGTTGACATTGATTATTGATGATCCTCATACTCCCGGAAATGACATTGATGTGTACTTGCACCTTATAGTGGATGAGTTAATGGAATTGTGGGAGGTGGGTGTTAATACGTTTCATGCATCAAACAACCAGATGTTTCAGATGCGAGAAATGCTATTATGGACAATCAATGATTTTTTGGCATAAGCAAATTTGTCAGGATGGGGCAGAAAGGGTAACATAGCTTGTCCTTGTTGTTATAAGCACACTCATTACCGTTGTTTGAAAAATGCGAAGAAGCTTTGTTACATGGGACATCACTATTGGTTGGGTCAAGATCATGACTTTTGTAAAGATAAATTGTCATTGTATGGCAATGTTAAAGTTGAAATAAATCCAACTTGGCGTTTCGGGTACAAATGTGTTACAAATGTTTTCCCCATATTATCATAACAAATTTGGGAATGATGGTTAGGGTAGGCATTCCAAAAAATGAAAAAAGCGGTTAGATGAGGGATATGAAGATGACGAGACTGGACTAAAATAAAATTTGAAGAAGAAATGTATTTTCATTGATTTGGCTTATTGGGAGCACAATCTGATTCGATATAATCTTGATGTGATGCATAATGAGAAGAATGTTTGTGATAATTTATTGTGAACTCTTTTAAATGTTACTGAAAAAGGAGAAAGACAATCTGAATACTTAACGACACTAGCAAGCAATGGGGATTCGAAAGGTTTTGCACCCACAATAACAAGCAAGTAACAAATTGTATTTGCCTCCTTCATGCTTCACTATGGACAATGGGGAGAAAGACTCATTTTGTAGACTTCTAAAAAAACTCAAAATTCCAAATGGCTATACATCAAACATTTCTTGGTGAATTAACATTAAGCAACGCACTACATCTGGACTAAAAAATAATGATAGTCATATGTTATTGAAATAACTTCTGCCAATTGCTATGAGGAGTTTTTTGCCTAAGATAGTGGCTCGACCATTGATTGAACATGCAAGTAGATGATCTAGACCACCTCTAGTCTCGGATTGAGCTTACACTTTGCCATTGCAAAAAGGTATTTCCTCCTAAATTTTTCAATAACATGGAACACTTGCCAATACATTTAGCTGAGGAGGCGAAGATTGTCGAGCCGGTGCAATATCGCTAGATATGTCCTATAGAGAGGTGAATCATGATGTATATATAACTTAAGTTTAATGCAAATTCTCTCTATCATTTCATGTAATTCCATTTACCATTGATCTGTGGTCATAGGTTCCTCTTCGCACTTAAATCATATGTGAGGACTCCATTGAACAAGGATATTTGGTGGAAGAATGTATGACGTTTTACTTAAGATATTTGCATGATGTCGAGGCCAAGTCGTTTCAACGAGCGAGGAATTATGATGGTAGTGGTACATTTGATGGACAAGGCAGTCGTCCCTTAGGAAATGAGAAAGTGTTTGCCCTTAGTTACATAGAACGACAGTTGGCCCATTGCTATGTGCTAATTAACACTCCTGCAGTTGCACAATTTCAAGAGTAATACAAGATTCTGTTTTCGTTATCATATCACAACATTTAACAACTATATGGACGCTGCATTCAACATGAATTCTTTACGCAGAGAACATCATGTTGTTATTAGGGGGTCCAATCATCGTATGAGGAGGGATCACAAAGTCGATCGCATTCACAATGATACATTTCATATATGGTTTGTATCCCATGTATGTAACCTAATAGAAATTTATATATGATTTCAAGTTATGCAATGGTGAGTAGTCTGAATGATGTACTATACTACAAGTCTCATTTTAATAGAGATTAGATGCCACTCATTTGGGTTCAAGCTTTCATTAAAAAAAACTTATTAAAATTCAACGGCTAAGTTACCATTAAACAAATTGAAATCAATCCAATAATCTTAGCAAATAAAAAATTTCATGACTTTCTTTAATAAGATTCATAGTGACCAATAAACTATGATGGAACATAGTAGCAGATGAGAGAGAGAGAGAGAGAGTTTAATTCTTTCTCAATTCATTGTGTGTGGATCTATTTCACTCAGTTAATATCGATTATATCATTAGCTATGTTTGGATTTGGTTTTACTAATAATATTACAAAATTCAGTGATGTTGTGGGCTCGTAGTGATATTTTTTGATTTCTATTGATCCAAGTTTTGAAGTTACTTGATTTTGCTTAATTTAGAAGTTATTTATTTTTTATTTTTTGGGGAATTATTGTTGTGTGTGGACTAGTTGGTCTGTGATTTTATATGGGTTCCAAAGTGGCCTGAAAATTGAGTGAAACAGCTAAGCAGTATTTCACTTATGAATCTATGTAATGATCCATGTTGTTGAAGTTACTTGATTTTGTTTAATGGAGAAGTGTGGTTGTTTTTTGCAATTAGTTTTGTGTGGTGACTGTTTAGTTTGTGATTTTATGAGGCCTTCAAAGGGGTGGAGCTCCTCTACTATTGAGGTCTAACAGCAAACTTTGTTGTTAAATGGAACAGCGCCATTTTGGCCAAGATTCTAGCACACAGCAAATACACAAAACGACGTTGTCCAAGTTCTGCCCATTTCAGACCGCTACAACGTCGTCTTCCACCTTCTTCCACCTGAGAGGGAAGGGGTGCTGAATCTGATGACTCTATCGAATAAGATGGCATCGACCATGGCTTCTCCATTTCTCACTTCATTGTGTTATGTTATCGTATGCACCCCTCACCGCAACGTCGTCACCATGAACGACGATGACAATCCTAATTAGTTGGAAGAATTTTTCTAGAAAAATAGGGCTCTCCAATCCAAAATTTGCAAAGAGCTTGCCAACATGAGCCCATTATAAAGAGCTCAAGAAAGTTCCATCTTTCTCTCTCTCTCTCTCTGTCCGTGCATATTTTCATATGTATATGTATGTGCATTTGTGTACATAACTTGTAGGTGTTTGTTTGTTGGTATGAGTGAAATAATGTATATTAGACTCACTACCAGAGGCACCATATTGGTATAATTGATTTCTTTTTTTTGTGTTAGTTTTTTGAACTTGTTGACCACATAATTGAGGTAAGGAAGATAATTAGATTCACTTTAAGAAAAAAAAAATTGGGTGTTTTTTTAGAGGGTTTTTACAATTGGGATACCTATATATAACTGTTGATTGTTATGGAGATTGAATGGTCTAGTCTTATATTACACTTCATGAGAATAATTTGGAGAACCATTGGGACATACCTAGTATGATATGATATTTTGTTTGGGCAGAAATTGGTGGTCAAGTCTAGATTTTGTTGTCTAGGCACAAGTGAGTTAATGCTCCATTGTCTTTAGCTATACTAAATTTGGTTCATTTGTTTGCTTTGAGAGAGCTAATCAAACAAGCGGTCATTCTTAAGAGGCTGCCTAACAATTTTGTCAAGATTGGAGCTTCTTGTCTGGGGGCTGTTTAATGAGCTAGGAGCTGAATTGTGAAGTTCAGAAGATGCAGAATTGTAGTTAACATTGGTTTTGGTCCTCTTAAAGGATTAAAGCCAATTTATTAATTTGCAGAATTCTGAGTTGTGATGCTGTGAAGATAGGATGGTGTTGCAGTCTGGTGCAGTCTGTTGAGCTGCTGTTGTGTTCATACAGTCTAGTGCAGTCTGTTGAGCTGCTGTTGTGTTCATATAGTATGGTGCAGTCTGGTGCAGTCTGTTGAGCTGTTGTTGTGTTCATGCAGTATGGTACAGTCTGGTGTAGTCTGTTGAGCTGTGATGCTATGCAGTATGGTGCAGTCTGGTGTAGTCTGTTGAGTTGTGATGCTATGTAGTATGGTGCAGTCTGGTGTAGTCTGTTGAGCTGTGATGCTATGTAGTATGGTGCAGTCTGGTGTAGTCTGTTGAGCTGTGATGCTATGTAGTATGGTGCAGTCTGTTTAGCTACAAGTAGTGGGATTTTGATATGAGTTGTTGTTGAGCTACCTTAGTACATTTTGAAGGATGGAAGTTGAAGAGTAGCTATTTCACTAACAGTTCCTTTTTCAACTAGTTCAACAAAATGGTGTAGTTGTACAGGAGAAGTTAAAGAGTTTTTTCTGCATTTTTCGTAATAGAAAATATGTTTACTATAACAGTTTTTTCACTAAAATAGTTTTTGTTTTGATTCTTGTAATTTTGAGTTTTATTCAATAAAATTTTCTATTTCTTTAAAAAAAAAAATTCAGGCAAGGAGGCTGTAACAACAAGATCAGCAGGGTATCAAAACTTTAAGGAAGAAGATTGTCATTTGTTAATTCTTATTTTTTCTTGCATTTCTGGATAAGGACAAAGCAGGGTTTGTCTGCTTGTCTTATTGATTGTAATTCTTTTCTATGAAATGAAGTGTATTGGTTGGTTGAAAATGATGTATTGATGTATTGGTGCATTGGTTGGTTGAACATGGTGCTTTGGTGCATGGTACATAACAAAAATTTACTTGTCCAAGATAACAACTACACATTGAACACCATGAATCATACATAGGTGAGGTCAATTACATAAAAAAACAAAAATGAGATCATGTACACATGTGTTTCCAAAGGGATGATAGATCTTTTAAAACAAAAAATAGAAGATCCACCATCCACATTTCAAAAGGATCAAAAATAAATTGTCAACCTTGAACAAAAATTTGAAGCACCATCCAGCTTTGCAACAACATCCAGCACTGCAGCAACATCAATTCTCCTCATTAGGATAATCAACGACGTTCTCCAAGAAGCGTGATTTAACATTTACTTGAGCATTTTGTGAACCAATTGATGCTTGAGAATTTGATGCTTGAGAAGACATGCTTGAGATTGGATTTGAGTGACTATAAGTTGATGCTCATGAGTAGCTAAATCCATTCATATGTAAATTTTGCTCATCCGATTGAGATACCTTCAAAACAAGCATTCAAAGACATAAAATACAATTAAAAAAAAAAGAATCCAAAATATCATAACCATAATGGTGGGGTTGTAATACCTTAGACCTATAGAAAGTTCCAATTTTCCTCTTCTTTGGCTTCTCATTCCAAGGCTTCAATCGACCCTAACCCTTGTAACTACCATCTTTCCTCTTCAAGTCAGCTACTTGTACAATGTTAGGGTCAACATTTTCTACTCCTTTAGAGAGAGAGAGATTTTCTATTCCTTCATCACCATCATTGTCCTCCTCAGTACCAAGTGATGCATACATCAAATCCACTTATTTGAACAACTCATCAATACCACGGTTCACCAATTGGTGTGCAAACTTAAGGTTAGAACAATGAGCTGCTAAATTTACCATTCTAGGACATAACTGTCTGTAACATAATGCTACCATCAACTTGGGATCCTCCTCATTTAGTGAGGCACTAGAATAAGGACTTGACCACTTTCTTACATCTCGCCTCTATCTCTGTATCATGTATTAGTTATGAATTTGCTTAATGTTCATCGTGTCTAGCACTTTAAGTACATGACCACATAATATCCCAATCATTTCAAATTTTCAACAGCTACAGAAAACGGTTTGCTCATTGACATTGATCAACACCATGTACTTTCTCTCTTCATCATACAATTCCACCACAAATTCATGACATCCATCGAACACATTACAAGGACTCGTAATAGCACACTGGAATACATCATATTCATCTTGAAATAAATCAAAATCGGGGGAGTGTAACATTGAGCTACTTGCACCAACATCGGAGCTCTTTTTAACTTCATGCTAGGCAACTTTTGCCTAGCTGATATTCCTTCTCTGTTTCCTTATATCTCTTATCAAGCGAACAATATCATGGTCTGGCTTTAAGTACTTCCGTAATGTTGAGTTCAAGCTCTCACTTTGTTGAGTGCTCCTCATACGGCTGTGAAAGTCCGCTTCATATAAACATGTGTTCATTTCTCTCTTAGTGCCCAAGTTGAATTCATCTAACTATTATCGTGCAAATCATACTCATCAAGCAACAATTTTCAAGCATTCAACTAACTCATGCTCTTTCTCGTATCCATACATGCACTCTTTAAATTGCGTTGAAAATTTTGAACCATCCTTATATATGTTCCCTAAGTGCTTTAAAGCATTTGAGAAAGGTTCCAAACAGTATAACCCATGATATGTTTCTAGCATTACTATAGATATAACTTTAGCCATTGCTTGATCTTGGTAATGAAAATGGTAACAGGCTTCTTCCCAGACTTGCTCGTAGAAATATCTGAAACAACCACTGAAATGATGTTGTAGTTTCATCGTACATAATGCAACACCAATTATCACCGCCTCCCTGAACTGGTTGAATCCAATCAAAATGCCTAAAGGTCGGTA